TTTTAAAAAATTGTAGTAATTAAACTTGTCTGTTGTGAGAGCCACATATGATATGTTCTCTGCTCTGACAAAAGAGATAAAGGACAAACTTCTTCAAGGCCTCTGCTGGGTGGCGAGACAGAACTTTCTGCTGAACTTCATCAGAGAGCAAAGAATTGTAATGTGGGGGAAAGTAGAAGGCAAAATAAGTTTTGAAGTTGCTTTATATCCTTATATTCTATGCAGTGGATCACATCTGTCTATTTTATTTATTTTTTTAAAGATTTATTTAGTTATTCATGAGAGACACAGAGAGAGAGGCAGAGACATAGGCAGAGGGAGAAGCAGGTTCCCCACAGGGAGCCCCATGCGGGATTCGATCCCAGATTCCGGGATCAACCTCTGAGCCGAAGGCAGACAGACGCTCAGCCACTGAGCCACCCAGGCATCCCCACATCTGTCCATTTTAAATTAACATTAAAGGTAGACATTCTAACAATTTTATTAATACAATTAAATGTAGAACTTCCCAAACCATTGATCTTTTTAGAGCAAGTTTGGGGATTTGAAATGACACAGTTAATATTTCTCAAGTCTAAAGTTGAGGAAATATTGTGTATGTTGAGCACCATTTGTTTATACCTCTACCTCTTCATCATCAGATTATTTTTGCTCCTTCACCTCCCAACTAAAAAGTCAGACTTCACAGATTTTCCTCAAAGTTATTTAAATAAGCTACGAGAGGCGTAAAAAAAGTCATTTTTAGATATGTGTGATCTCATGACTCTTCATCACATAACTTAGTGAAGGAAAAGCCCAAGAAGAGCTCCTAAATTATTGCTTGTCAAATATCTTGTAATTTTTGGGAAAAGTCATTTTTTGGACCCTGTCAAGAAGTAAGTTGCCGTTTGTAAGTCTTGAAGCAGTGCACTGCTACCGTGTTGTTGAAGTCAATTGGAATTGTCTTTGTGTCCTTGCAGGGCACCTTGAACATTTGTCTGCCTGCTGCATCTCTAGAGGATATCAAAGAATTCTGTTATTGACATATAGAGAAATGATTTTGGCAAGTGACAAACACTGCCCATTAGTTGAGATGATAAACTCTAGTTACTGCCCTTTTTGATAGCTGCAGCAAAGCAAAGAGTTTTCGATGCTGTTTTCAAAATAGTGGGACTCTTTTCTTAGACATAGAAGTCTGTGAACGTGTGTGTTCTTTTGTAAGTTCGTAAGTATTGACATGATTGCTGTAAAACCGTAGTCAGTTCAGCATTATGCTTGAGTGGATTATCACATTGCAATTGGCCCAACGTTGCTTGCAAATTCTAATTGATATTTCCATATACTTAGAGTATCAAGTATGTTGTTGACATAAATAGAACCTTTACCATCTAAGTTATTTTTAAAATAACTAAAAAGAAGGTTATTTTAACCTTGTAGAATGTTGATTTGAACCAGAAAGTGGGTTATTTTCTTATCATAGCATGGGATCAACAAAAGAATTCTACATGGAGTAGGAAGCAAAGAGGCAAAAATAGTTAAAATTTTTTATCTCAGTTTTTTCTTTGATGTTCTGAGGATATATATCTTTGAAGAATTACAGAGCCCCCAAAATATTTATTTTAATTAATAGTTGCTGTTAACTGTTCATGGATGCAAAGCCTTTATATTGCTAGGATGCCAATACTCCAAATGTTGTCTCATTGGATGTGATTTTTACCAAAATCCAGCTGACTTTTTTTTTTCTTGCAGAACTTGATGTTCTGATTGTAAAATTTGTATGAAAATGCAAGGGATGCAGAATAGCCAAAACAAACTTGGAAAAACAAATGTGGAGAATTCTCACTTCCTGATTTCAAAACTTAATATAAAACTAAATAATCAAGACCGTGTAGTACTGGCATAAGGATACATGATAGATCAATGGAATACAGTTGAGAGTACAAAAATGAACCCTTACATTTTTGGTCAGTTGAGTTTTTATGAGTGTTAAGCAACTCATTGGAGAAAAATAGTCTTTACAACAAATGATATAGTCACACTTTGTACAAACACTAACTCAAAGTAGTTATATGCCTAAATGTAACAACTAACATTTTAAAACTTTTAGGAGAATATAGGAGTCTTTATGACCTTGTATTATGCAATATTTCTTTGATACAGCACCAAAAAGCACTAATAACAAAAGAAAAAAATAAATTGAACTTCATTAAAATTAAGAACTTTGTGTTTCAAAGGGCACATCGAGAAATTTCAGGAAGTGTCTCCATAGAAAGGGAGGCAATAATTGCAAATCATGTGTCTAAGGAATCTGTATACAGAATATTTAAGAACTCTTATAATTCAATAATTAAAAAACCAAATAATTAGATACTTCTTCACAGGAGGTCTACAAATATCCAATAATCACATGAGAAGATCCTCAGCATCATTATTCATTAGAGAAATGCAAATCATTAGTCATTGGGGATATGCAAAATAAAAACCACTTCACACCCACTATGATGGCTAAAATTTTAAAAAAGGAAAATTGAAAGTGCAAGAAGGTGAGGATTCAGAGAAATTGGTACCCTCATATATTGCTGATGAGAATGTAAAATTGTGCAATACTTTGGAAATAGTATAGTAGTCTCTCAAAATGTTATACAGAGTTACCATATGGCCCAGCAATCCCACCCCTGGATATCTATCTATCAAAGAGAAATGAAAACTTAAGCCCACAAGAACATGTTTTTAGTGACATTTATTTCACAGCTGAACATGATTTCAAATGGTTGTAGCAACATTATTTATAATCAGAAAAAGTGGAAAAACCCCAAGTGCCCATCAAATGATGAGCGAGTAAACAAAATACAGTCTATCCATACAATGGAATATTATTTAGCCATAAACTGCAGTGAACTACTGATACATACTACAACATGAATGAGCCTTGAGAACCTCATGCTCAATGATAACAGCCACATGTCTTATGATTCTGTTCATATAAAATGTTCATAATAGATATATTCTTAGAGACAAGAAGTGAATTAATGATTGTGGGGTGAGGTTGGGGGTGGGGTGGGGGCAGGGGGTTGGGAGTGAAAGATGGGGGTAGGCAGGCAGAAATGGGAGTGATGGCTAATGGGTATGGGACTCTCTTTTTGGGGTTTTAAAATTATTCTAAAATTAGATAATGGTGATGAATGCAAAATTCTGTGGATAAGCTAAAATAGACTGAATTGTACTTTTTAAAAGGGTAGATTTAATGTTATGTGAATTATATCATAATAAAATGTTTATAAGAAATAAAAATAGTGGGTCTTGAAGCCCCAGTCAAGCCTCTCAATGATTGAACCTGCAGCCCTGTTGATATCTTGAAATGTTGCCTCCTCATAAGAGATTCTAGCCCGGAACTCCCCCGTCCAAGCCACTTCTAAATATTTGACCCACAGAAACCCTGAGAGACAATAGGATTTTTTAATGCATTCAATTTGAGGGTAATTTATTACACAGCATTAGGAAACTAATACAATGCCATTGTGCTCATGCATTCGTTAGCATCACTAAATGAGCTCTGTGTGTTGGATACTTCATAGAGAACCAGCCATACCCTTACCCTTCAGAGTGCTCCCCCTTGTGTAAGAGAGGTAAGAAGATGTAAATGTGCTGACATGCGCAGTAGTCATGAGTTCAAATATTTTGTTAGATTGTCTACCTAAGTATTTTTGTTAGCTCCCCAGCCCTCTTTTCTCTGTAAGCATATATCAATCCCTTCATAATAGTAGGAATGTTTGAAAGCTTTCAAAGACATTCATCTTTTAAGATTTGTTACCTTAAACTAAAAATTGTTCTTTGACCTTTTAGATTTTCTTCCCTTTGTTTATCCCCATAGAAGAGTGAAAACAAATTTTTAAAAAACGAAATCTAGTGTAGACTGAGTCTTTCACAAACCCAGAACCCCAACGTGAAATGTTGCCACACAGTCTAAAAGTGAAATACATTTTTTAAATCATTTCACACTGACAAACTGCTTGAATTGTGCCTCCATGCCTTGTTTTCTTCAAGGTCCTAACTTGATTCCTTTATGCCCAACCTCTTAACTGATATATCCTTTTTGTTGTTGAAATGATGCTTTCAGATCCACAAATGCTGTTTACAGGTGGTCATTGACAATGGATCTTTCTCCATGTGGTTTGCGGATTCCTTGAAACCTGAGTCCATGAGTAACACTGTTTCTGACTTTGCTTCTGAAGACTGGTGTATCTGCAAAATCCCTCTGTTAAAGTGCAATTCCAAAGCCTACCAGAAATCGAATGCCTCCCAAATGAGATTCTAAATCAAGCTTGCTTTTTAGAATCCATTCTGTCTATGTAACACCCAACTCAGTGTGGCCACTGGCTTGGCGTGCTTGCCTCCTCTGGCCCCCTTACCTGTCTGTTGCGGAAGAGAGTTTACCATTTTAGAAATTAAATGGTTACTTGTAGTTTCTCTCTGCTGAAGATCACTCTCAGAATAAAAGTCTTATGACAAAGTAAGAACTCCACATTTCTTTTCCTTTCATTATCCGGTTAGACTTTTGACAGAAGTAACCTTGCCAGGCAACTTTTTTTTTTCCATGGATTTGGCTTTCTTTATATTTTTAGTGTCACCAGGGGGTGCAGGCAAGTAGAGTACATTAAAGTTAATACATCACCACCTGTCAGTGGCACCTTCCCTTTGGTACCCATTTCCTTGCTGATTTAAAACACTCGGTCCCAAAAGCTTATGGTTGAGTAGCAGGAAGCTAAATGATGTATTCCAAAGCTCTTAACACATTGCCTTGTGTAAATGGCCCATTTGAGTATTTCAGAAACCAAACAGGAGAGAAAAGAACATTGAAAGCACAGAAGAGATTAACACCTGTTTCCAGTCTTCAAAGAAATTGGAGCATACTATATATACCGAGAGTAAAACCACTTGCCATTTCACGTTGAGACATTTTATTCAAATTTTCAATTCTCTATGCATAGTGTCCACATATTTATGGGTTTGTTTGACTGCAGGATTCCACACAGAACTTAGAAGATGGAGAAGTTATGAATGGTGTACAGCCAGAGCCACCGACATCGCCGAAAACCAAGGATGCGCTGAGGTATTCTCTTTATGTGAATAAGAGTATTTTAGTTATCTCGAGATAATGTTTCTTTAATAGTTTGTAGTTGTTCCTATTTTATAGGGAAGGTCAAGATAAGTAGAATAGTGGACTGAAACCTGTCTCAATTCTAAAACTAATTAGTCACTCTTCTATTTTCTTGTATGATGTAAGAACTTCCTGACAAACATATATAAATGAGCGTCCAACTCTTTCAACTCTTCAGCAACCTGGATTTCTTAATTGCTTTTTTTCTCTTTGAACAACAGTTTAAAGTGAATTTTCAGAGTTTATTGTGGTTGAGTGTTCTACTTTGACATTAGCTCTTTGAATATTGCTTTGCATTCTGTTTTAACCTTCTTGGAATATTTTATTCAATGTATATAACATGAATCCAGTCTATCACCAAGGATTTTTCATGTTTTTAATGTAAGTAACTCATTATATGAAGTCATTTGCTCTCATTTTCCTCAATAATTACTTTGTTCTGCACTAATTTCCAGTCCTGCCTTAGCTGCTACACAGGTTCAGTTCCGAGTTTTGCTTCTTGCTAGTTCTATGAACTTAGGCAAGTTATTTGTCTCTTTGCCCTAGTTTCTGGTCTGTAAAACAGAAATAATATTAAAACCTTCCTCAGAGGGTTGGTATGAAGATTAAATGAATTCATGTAAAGAACTTCAAACAATGCCTGGGCCAGAGTCAGCCATGGGAATATTTGCTACTGTTGGCTACCACTGTATTGTGCTCATCATCACCACCATCTCGGTGATGGTAATGATACTACCACCACCACCACCATTCTTACCATCATTTTTTCTACATTGCTTCAAATTTTGCACTAGAAAACTAATTCCATATTTAATAGTGGTAAGAGTAATTAACTTGTAGACACCCAATCTATATCCACTACTCTTGTCTCCAAATCCTTCGACTCCAGTGTGAACACTTCCCCTTATTCTTTTTGTGTTTTATTTCATGCTAAGAAACTTCATGTAGAGAGCCCCAGTTTGGAGAAATCAGCTGAAATCAGGTTGAGGCCAAATTCAGAAAGTAGAGGAAGTACAGACTTCCAGCTCTTGCAGCCTCTTTGGTAAGAGGAGGATGAGAAAGATCTTAACAACATAGCATGCACAGCTAGCAGCAGGAAGCTTGGAGATTACAACTGCAGAACACATTGGTTCTAGCTGGCATGGAGCGATGAAGAAACAAAGGAAGAGAAATTAGGAAGTCACTTAGACCTGAGTTACGTGGTCAGCATTGTCCTGGGGCAAGGATGGCATGCTACCCCACAGAGTTTGGCTCAAAAATAGGACTTTGGGGTCACTTTGATGTAGGTAGCATAGAAGCTCAGCAGATTATTTGCAGAGTCCGTCTCAAAATATTTTGAACTTGTTCCTATACTTTAATCCCCATAGTCATTGCTCAAGCAAATGACTCTCAGACTATTACAGTAACTCCACTGTCTCTTCTCTTGAATATCAATCTCTTTATCCTAATTGATCTGACATAGTACTGCTGGATAAAATTTCTTAAACCATAGCATTCAGCAAGCCATTCCTTCATTCCAATTGAATTTCGTTAAATCCTTGATTTGAACACTACTTATGTAACTTTGAACTAATCATTTAGCCTCTTTAATTTTATTTAATATGGAAAATGGGTATCATGATCACACAGATTATTATGAAGATTAAATGAGATTTATCACAGGCAATTGCACGTAGTACAAGGCTAAATGAAAGCCTAGATAAATATTTGTGGCTGCTATAGTTAGGATTAGCACACATTCCACAGTTTGTTGTAACTGTCATTCTCCCATATAAGTCTGTGAATCCTCCAAGGCATTCCTGACACGTCATACAGGTCTTGGAATGTACTAGCAGCATATTTGTTCAGTGAATGGTTAAAACACATTGCTCCATAGATCATAAGCATATCTATTAACTAGTTACTCATAATTAACACATTTTTTAAAGAAAAATAACTGAGGAGGTTCTCCAAATAGGCTTATAATATGCATCTTCTATGAAGTACTATTCAATTTCCCTTGATGATGAAGCAAGAAGTTTCTCTTAGGTGGTTTCTATTGGGTGTTTTAAAATTTTTTTTAATTGTACTTTAAGCTCCTCTCTCTTTCTTACCTTTTCTTTTCTTTTGGGGGGGGGGCAGTGCAGAGGAAGAGAGACTATCTTAAGCAGGCTCCACTCCCAGCATGGAGCCCCATGAGGGGCTTGATCTCACAACCCTGAGATCATGACTTGAGCCAAAATCAAGAGCTGGATGCATAACTGACTAAGCCATCCAAATGCTCCTAAACTTCTCTTTCAACAGCAAGCAACATGTGCAAAAGACCTTCACCGGATCCCTAAGTTCTCCGTCATTCTTGACCTCAAACTATTCCTTGACACATTTCCAAATTTGCTTCCTCTAGACTTACCTCTCTTCCCAGGCTTAAAACAGCCATCAAGTTTTATTTGTCTTTCCCTCTGATATCCGTTCATTCGGCAAATTATTGAGAGAGTCCATGTCAAAAAAGAAAAAAAAAAATATATATATATCGCTTAAACCTTTCCCCAGGTATTCATGCTTTATTCCTGTAATTCTTACTCAAGCCTTATTAGCAATCTGATTATTGCAATCATTTACTCACTCCTGTCTCAGGAATCAATCTCTATCTTATCTTATTCTTTTCTAATAGATCCCACATATCACTGCCAGATAAATATTTCTAAACCCCAGCATTTATCACACCACTCCTAGTGCCGACACCTTTAATGACTCCATTTTCTACAGAACTAAGTGTGCTTTTTTTTTTTTTTAGCATAGAATTTGACATATCACTTTGAGATTTGATCTCAAGCTTGTGGTTCAACCTTCTCTTCTCAATACCTGCCTCTGTCTTTCCCTTCCTTTCTCCCTGCTCACTGACCTCTTTCTTTAATATCACAACTAGTCTATGTGCCCACACACCCTCCTGGTTCAGTGTCTCAGTGTAGACTGTGTTCTTTCATCTGCATGCCCCCTCCATTCCCTCACCTACTTTTTCTGACTGAAGATCCATTTGCCCTTCTCAGTTTCATCTAAAATGTACCTGTTTCAGGAAGACTTTCCTGATCCCAGCTTCCTGTACTAATTTCCTCTGAGCCTCATCAGAATGTGCCTCAACTTTGAAACTCACATGAGAGTAGCTTAAAACTCTGCTCTTAAAATAATAATAATAATAGGGATCCCTGGGTGGCGCAGCGGTTTGGCGCCTGCCTTTGGCCCAGGGCGCGATCCTGGAGACCCGGGATCGAATCCCACATCGGGCTCCCGGTGCGTGGAGCCTGCTTCTCCCTCTGCCTGTGTCTCTGCCCCTCTCTCTCTGTGACTATCATAAATAGATAAAGGTTTTAAAAAAAAAAAATAATAATAATAAATAAAATAAATAAAAAATAATAAAAACCCTGCTATTGAATATAATAAATTATAATTTGAGTTCTGACTCTACCTTGTCAAGATGGTGTGAGGCTTGACAAATTATTTTACTTTTCTAAGCATCGGTTTCCTTATCTATAAAATGGGACTGACATGTTTACCTTACACTTTTGTAAGAGTACATGGTATCATGCTAGAAGGCCATTAATATACTGCCTCCCAAATAATAACTTATAATCAGAAAAACTATACTATGATTACTACTATCATCCCATTGCTTTGTATTATTCCTTGTTATCTGTCATAACCTGCCTCCCTAGATTATAAACTCCTCAGACATTGGCCTCTGTATTTTCCTTGTAGAACTTCCTCCTTGTAACTACTCTAGTAATATACATTGAATTTAGGTATGTTACATGAATCCCACCATCATCAGCAACAAATTTTTTGTTAGGTTTTCACTGAGTATATTTGCATCAACAAGACATCATGATCCAGCAGACCTGTGCCATCAACAAACTCTTCTGGGAGGTCTTTCTTTCACGTTCCATCTCTCACTCTATTCCACATGACAGACCTGCACGTTAGGGCCTGAAGAAACCCGGCTGAAACCTTCTATCCATGTATTACCCATCATCTTCTCTATGGCAGCAGTCTAATCATAAAGTATTTTCCTCAATCCTACAATACCTGAGGATATTTTTTTAAGATTTTATTTATTTATTCATAAGTGGCACAGAGAGAGAGAGAGAGACAGAGAGACAGAGAGATACAGGCAGAGGGAGAAGCAGGGTCCACGCAGGGAGTCCAACGTGGGACTTGACCCCGGGACTCCAGGATTGTGCTCAGGGCCAAAGGCAGGCACCCAACAGCTGAGCCACCCAGGCGTCCTGCTGAGGATATTTTTAAAAGTCTTACTGAAGAAATCAGTTGAAAAAAATGGAAAGTTTGAGATAATTTCCTTTTAATCTGTAAACTCATCCCTCAAAAAGTTCTAATAATCATCTTAATAGCTGATAGTTACTGAGCCTTTTGTGTATGCCAGCTACGACTTGTGTGATGTACATGTTATGTCCTCCAATTGTTTTTAAACTGACAGTTCTACTAGGAATTTATCTTAATTTCCCCATAGTCCAAATAAAGAAACTAATACTTTTGGTGTTCATTTAAATTATTTACTCAACAAACTCAAAGCCACCACTACTATACACTGTCTCTAATTTCATAAGTGAATCATGATTTTCTTCCAAGATAAGATATGTGCCCCCGCACCAAACCTGCCCTGAGTCCTGTCTGTCCCTTCCTCTAAATGAGTGTCCTGTGACTGAGTCCAGTAATCTCAAGACTAAAAATGGTATCCATTTGCCTCCCGTGAGGACTTGGACCTGCAGCCGTCTGCAGCTCTGGCATCCTTGCCCTCAGGCTTCCTGTGTTTCTTCTGAATGGAGCCAAATGCAGTACTTGCCATGGAGTTCCTGCAGAGTAGCTGTTGAGGACAGGCTCACTTTTAACCTTTTATTTTGTACCTTCGCCCAGAGTTTTGTCCTAAAATCTGAGATAGGTAGCAGCTGGTCCCAGGAATTAGTTGAATCAGTTTTGTCAGTTGGATCTGAGGGCATTTAGCTTGATTAATGCTGTTGGACCTAATGTTCTGTGACTCTCCGTTCTCACTTTAGTTGTATAAAATCAGCTGTTTTGATCTTAGTGAAATTATAGACTTTTCTTTGTGTAATTAATGTACTTTCCCTTTACCCCACATTTCATTCTTTGTCCATTTTTCACAAGTAGCTGCCAGTCCCTTTTTTTCTTTCCACTGCTAGAACGTCCTCTCCACCTCATTCTCTAAGTTTTCCATTCTCAGTCTGCCTCCAAAACATAAATTACCGTGTACATATCCTGTTCACTGGTCCCTGAACCCTACTCTGCACTTTACCTAAACAAATAGCATTAATAGTGTATATTTCCACATCTTAGTAAAAAAATCTCACTTTATGAGATTAAGTATTCAAATAATTGTGTCCAGCCTTACTTGCTGTGTTTATCTTTCATGAAGGGTATATATACAGAGATTTCTACAGAATTCCATCAGGTATATATAACACAAGGTTTTTTTTTTTTCTGTCCTTCCCCCTTTAAAATAAGTAAAAATATCCCGTTTATGAGACTTCCTCTTTCAAAAGCTTTTCTTTCTATCTTAAAATAATGGATAAGAACATGGTAAAACATAGCCTGTATAAAATTTGTAATGCTGATCTATATAAAATAAATTTAATTCTCTGTATCTGCCTATATATTAAAATCTATAAAATCAAAAGTCTTCTGTGCTTTTATCCTGAGATAATATTTTGATGCTAGTAATTTAACATTTGTCAAATATCTTTCTAGCCAGATTGTGCCTGTCATGTATATAGATAGCACACAAGTTTATTCTGAAATCTCGAAAAAGAGAATCTTAAAAGTATAAATGAACCTTTAAACTGTATCCCCCAAAAAGTTGTGGTGTTTTGAAACAAGATTGATTGCTTTAACAAATTATAAGATTTACTTTATTTAAGTGAGTGTGAAAATAGAGGATTGATATTTCTTGAAGAATAGATATCAGTATAATACATAGATTTTACTGTTTTACAGGAGAGGTTTTGAGTTGGGTAAAGAAATATTTGCAGGCACCTGGGTGTCTCAGTGGTTGAGCATCTGTCTTTGGCTCAGGTCGTGATCCCAGGGTCCTGGAATTGAGTCCCCTCCCATCAGGCTCCCTGGGGGGAGCCTGCTTCTCCCGCTGCCTGTATATCTCTGCCTCTCTCTGTGTGTCTCTCATGAATTAATAAATAAAATCTTAAAAAAAAAGAAATATTTGCTAGACAAAAACTCCATAAAGCCATTCTAAAAATTCTTAAGCTAAAATCTTGAACTCTATACTAAACACTATATCCCAAAAGCCTCTATATAATACATAAAAGGGCTGTCTATAAGCATGTGGATATGTGATACGTTTATTAGGAAAGATTTGTGCTATGTTCTAAGTGTAAAACTATAAAAATACATAATAAAGGTAGAGATAATAGTTTTAATTATTTTTAAATATATTTTTAAGATTTTATTTATTTATTCATGAAAGAGAGAGAGAGAGAGAGAGAGAGAGAGGCAGAGACAGAGGCAGAGGGAGAAGCAGGTGCCACGCAGGAAGTCTGATGTGGGTCTCGATCCCAGGACCCCAGGATCATGCCCTGGGCCGAAGGCAGGCACTAAACCGCTGAGCCACCCAGGGATCCCCTAACCAAGATTTTCATGTTTGTTTTTAAAAGTCTTTAAAATAATACCATAACCCTAGAATGTTAATGCTTTGGGTTTAGACTTTCTCAAATACCTGCAAATGCACTATAAATCTGTTATTATATAAAAATTATTGCTTTGTGGTCCATTAAAAGCTATGCAACTTTTTCTGCCCACCAGACAGTTTATATTTAGGACATATAACACATCTATATATAGTATTATATATATATATATATATATATATATATATATATACACACACACAGAGATATTATGTGAATATACAGATAATGAATATATTCATATAATATCTATACCCTCACACAGAAAGTATCAAGAATCTATTTATCCCATGATATTACCACTCTAAGATTTGTTTTATTTCTAACTTGTACTCCAGGCCTCTGATAGAACCTGCTTGACTGAACAAGTTTTAAATATATTGGCAATATCTGAGAAAAACTCGTTTGAAATTTATTATCAGATTTGAAATTCTATCATATTCCACAAATGTTAGAAATTGACATGCTCTTTTTTCAGTTCTTAATGATAATAAGTTTGCAATGAAAACTAAGACTAAGCCTAGTCTACTGATGAGAATATATTTAATGTATTTATTTTAGATTGCTGATAATTCAGAGAGTACTACATGCAGAGTGAATTCATCAGGCATTTTGCTTTCTTAAGCTGTTCTCAACTTTCTAGCAAGGAGCCAAAATTTCACCGTTTTCAATTTGGAACAGAAAAGCATTTGTAGCAGCTGTAGCTCTTAATTTGACATCTAGTTTCAGGTCATTTTCATGTAAATAGGAAACAATAGAGACCTACTTACAATTTCCATAACAGGGATGCTTGCTTCAACTTTATCATTTTTCCTCTAGCAATTTTATTTTCTCTCTGTGGGATTAAAGGAGCCAATAATTGTTCACGGTTATTATTTTTCATCTTTATAAAAACTTGTTAGTTCCACTCTTTATTACTCAAAGTTTCCCAATATCTTGTATATTTCAGTCATACACACTATCCATTAATGTTTCTAGCTCATCCTTTCCTTAATCTGAAGTAGGTTAGGCGGGTCAGGCTTTCTATTTCTTTCTGTAATACATTTTCTTCAGGCTTTACAACTTCTTTTTCTACCTCTAAAAAAAATAGGAGGTGAAAATTTAGAATTGTTCCATTGAATACAACTGATGCCTTATTGAAAGGCAAGTCTAAGTTCTGATTTGTAATGCTCTGAACATGCCCATATGGATTACCAACTGTGGCTTCACTGTTGTAAAATGTAATTCTGTGCTTTTTTTCTAGTAAATACGTATTTTATTTCAATTTTCCTGTTCTGGGGTGGAAGCCTACTTTATGCTTGAGCATAGATAAGCTTAATTCCATGTATTTTATCATCTGTACAGTAATTTTCAAGTGTGTCTCAATGGAAAGAAATTTCATTTTTGTATATATTCTTTTAAATATGTTGATTTATGCAGATTAAGTTAAGTAGGAAGTTATTTTCGTGGGTCGTTATTTCCATTTGTTTCCCTTCTAGGGGAAAAAAAATACGAAATCAGTCTTTTAAACATTTTATTTCCTGGATCTTGTGAACATACCAGCAAATCATGTACTCATTTGATTTCATCTCCTGCTGTTGAATTTACAGCAGTTGATATAATCTTAGGTTATTTTTTTTTAATGTGCTGCTTTTTTTTTTTTTTTTTTTTAAGTAGAGACTCATCTGTGCTTTATTTTTTTTCTGCCCCAGTGATATGACAAGAACAGTGGAGATTTCTGGGGAAGGAGGCCCCTTAGGAATACATGTAGTACCCTTCTTTTCATCTCTGAGTGGAAGGTAAGATGTTTTCTTTATATCAGAGGCTCATGCTAATGAAAAACTTAACTTCAGCTCATTTTCCCAAATGAGGTCTCAAAAGAGGTTTAAATGTGTATCTCTGTTATTCAGATGGATAGCTCTATATATACTTCTGTTTGCCACTTAGGTTTTAGAAACAAAGTCATTTACTTCTAGGATACAGTGGAAGAGCAAAAATATCAATCACAATTTCTGCATTTATACTTAATTATGAAGTAATTTTTTAAAGATTTCGTCATTTATTTGAGAAAAAGAGCATGAACCAGGGCAGGGAAAGTGGGAGGAGGAAAAGGAGGAAGCCGACTCTCTGTTGAGTGGGGAACTCGACCTGGGCCTCCATCTCAAGACCCTGAGATCATCACCTGAGTCAAAATCAAGAGTTGGATGTTCAACTGACTGAGCCACCCAGGCACTCTGGAAACATTTTCTTAATGTATTCTTGCCAGTGACAGGTAGTAAACAGAATCCTTGAGATGGATTTTAACATACCGTTAGACAAATACTACACCTGAATTTTTTAATGTTCCAAAATATACTCCCAACAAGTGAATATAGTAATCCAAATTGGTATTTCCTGATTTTGCTCAGGTATATGGAACTTAGGATAATAAATACTCTAGCATTATAAGTAGCTATATCAGAAGCTATATGTTTTCATTATTTTAACTATAGTAGTAAAATACCATTGTGTTATTTTTTTCTAAAAGAAAATATAATCAAATAAAAATAGTATATCACATTCTTTTGAAATTTTAAAGACATTATATTGCTAAATCCACAGTAGCAAATGGTAATTTAGATATCGGCATTTCTTGAAATTTATGTCCACCTAATAACTAGATATAAAAGTTGGTTTACTGTTAGAAATTAAAATGGGTGCCTGAGACTTAATATTAGTACTATTATAACAACTTTATAATACTAGTGTAATGACAGCCTTTAGCACTGTATCAATAATGACAAGGGGTCTCTTAAAAGAAAGGGCTTTTCTTAAAATCAGTTTCTCACTCATGATATGATTTTAATTAATTTGCTAAATTAATTGTACTTATATTAAATGCATCACTGAAAAGTTAGAATGCCTTATTTTAGCTTAGAAGAGCCACATCCAGAAAAGTCCATTGATTTTTTTCAACATCACACAAAATCCAGACCCAACCTTCCTTACTCCATTGATCTTTCTAAAGCAAAAATTTCCCCAAAGACTATATAGTATTAATTTACTGGTTCAGAATATTTATTCAATTCAGTCTGCCACATAGTGGGAAGAGCAGATTTAGTCATGATATTTTGGTTGGCATCATTTTCAGCAGGTAGCCATCTGCTACCTGTAATTGCAAAGTCATCACCTTTTTTTGCAAATAACATCTGATGCCAAGCTCTTGCTGGAATGAATGTTCTCTAAAAAGAAATGAACTGAAAAGCCAGTGGCTCTTATTGTTTCATTTCCTGTATGTGTTAATAAGCGTGTTTATAAATGTTATGGGTTATGGCACAGGACAAGCTGAGGTTGTTTTTGATAGACAGGAAGGGTATTTACCCAGTTGTCATGAGAAATTCTAATGGCTTTTGGCAGAAGTGTACTGATAGAGCTTTGTGAAATACCAGAGCGGTTAAATTACCAGGCCCTTTAGCTTAATGAAGCCAGCATAGAACACAAGATCATCCCAATTTCCAAAACATGAAGAAATGTACAATGTGACAGTCGCCATACTTCATTTTCAATAGTTCAGAAATCAAGTTGACCCTGTAGACCAGAAATCACCTTGTCTCACATCAAATGAGAGAAACACACTATAATGTATTGATTTCTTCCCTTCTCCTTCCTGGTTCTGATTTCTAGCATAGGCCTTGAAGAATAGAAAGAGTGTTATACTTGGATTCAGAACAGTTGGATTTGAATCTCAGTGTTCTCTTTTATTACTTTGAGCAAGTTCCCTAAACTTGCCTCTTGTGAATACCTACTCCACATCAATGTTGTGGGGATTAAATGATATTAAAAATGTGAAAACTTGTAAAGCACAGAACATATGAATGTGTAAATTATCAGTGTTATTAATATTATGGCTAAAACAAAAAAGCCTGGTTCAGAAATGAACTTTTATAAGTTCAGTAATTTAGTGAAATACATATATATATATATATATATATGCTTTTTTTGCTATCCATTAGTATTATAGAAAGGAAATTTAATTAAAAAACATAAAAATAATATGGAAGTGGAGACATGAGCCAATAAAAGTTAAGAAGTAATGAGTACAGGCTGAAACAGCACACTTAACTCAACCCATGTGTTTAGATGCAACTGAGTATAGAGCGTGTCAGACAAGTGTCTGACTTCATAATGCCATATGGTTTCAGTGTGTGAGCATGGGGGTTTGGGGGTGGTGAGTTAAGGTCATGGTGGTATACTTAGTTCTTAATTTCCTTCCATTTATTGGTTTGTGTCATTATTTTAAATTAGAATTTACATGTAATTCTTTACTAAGACTACTGTAATTGACTTGGCCTCCAATTTCTTTATATATATATATATATATTAGAAAAATACTGCCACACCTGTTGTTAAATAGGAAATGTAATTTCACTTAGAACACTCTGAGTACAATATAGTGGCTGCTGTACTAGATAAGGCTTCAGTGGATTCATTAGGTACGACAGCAAAAGGTGTTAAGTGCCACTTGTATGGAGGCCCCTTGGCTTTAAAGTAAGAAACAAAACAAAAATACAAAAAACTGAGTTCCTGAAGGTAAAAAGCAATCTTATTTCATTGACTTAAAAAAAAATTAAGTACTTTTGTTTTAGAATTAGAAGCATGGAATCTAATTGTTTTTCAATAAAGATAGCATAAAATACATTTGTTTCCTAGTAAAGACAGCTAAATATGACAGAGAAGAAGGAAGGAGTGGGTGAGGAATGACACATAATGGAAGGAGAGGAGATGTTTAGATAAAAATACAAAGCTGCTAGAGTGGCCAAAGCCTTTTATTCAGTGGGAAGAGCAGAAGGGAGCAAGGAGTGAGTGGGTTAGTGTCTAAATGATTATTATAAGAAAAAGAAGCAAATGGCCCACCCTCTTATTCTGTGGGGCAGTAGATTTCAGCCTCCTTTATCACTGCTCATTAATGCAAATTAGCTGGTTCCTCTCAGCCTATAATTTCTCAACAGCATTAATCTTTACATCCTGAGAGCCTTTGTCCCAGATGAGACCACTACCACAGCCCACCAGTTTGGGTCAGAGAAGATAATGAGATATTCTTTTCCAAGCCTTCTCATACTGGTCTGGATGAAATCAAACTGGAGGAAATCCACTCCTTCTATGGAATAGAGAAGGCAGGAGTGGTTTGTTGCCAGGGACCAAACTAATAAAATCAGTCAGTTTTACATTTTACCAAAATTACCTCTGACACATGGGTTTTACAGTTGAGCTTATTCTGTCAATAAATTTTTCATGGAAAGTTAGGTTATTTAGATCAGTGAGGTTCACATAGCATACTCCAGCTGTAATATGCCAGCTAAATTGCAACCCAGTGGCCTGAAAGAATTAATTCATCTCCCAAAATGTGAAATTAAATCCTAGGGAGTAACATTACATGACTGATGATGTACTGAATTAAATTAAAGGAAGACTTGAATGCTTGTTAAAAAAAATATCGCTTACATAAACTAGTTTATAACCACATGTGAGCCTCCTAATGGATCATGTTATTGTGAATCCACCATAACAAAAATCCAAAATGTGAACTATTAGAGAGTTGTTTAATTTAGGAAAGAAACACTATTTGTTCTATTTCTTCTCCTTTTTCTTTTTCTTCTTTTGCATGTCAGATAGCTCAATTTTTAATATTATGTTACGAGATTAAGGTAGGATTAGTATCTCAAAAATATTAATTTGAATCTCAGATCCTTTATCAAATAGTAGCTTTGGCCCCTTTTCTCTCCCATACAGAATATGATGAGTTTACTAACCTCCTAGAACTAGGAAATGCAGTGTAACACCACCCCACACATGGGTACCTATGACCCCAAGCCTTCCCTACCATAAATGGCGTGACTCTCTCCTGCATCAGTGCACTATATTTATTAAAGACCTGAATGCCACCGCAGGTGCCCCTCCTCTTGCTTCAGATGACATGAGCTCATTGAATAAACCTGGCTCTGGAGGCAGAGGCCCTATTGTGTGGTTGCTCCAAACAGGAAGATGGTTTTCTCCTCCACTTTCATTAGACACCGCCCCCTCTCTATGGCTGACCCTGTTATTCATCTATAAAATGTTCCCATATTTTATTCAGATTTGAGATTTAATACAAAGGCACTCTGTGATAACGTGCAAGGACCCGTGTACAAAAAAGAGTGACAAAGCAGAAAAACAAGAGGAGGAGGGACCAAGGAGGTGGCTGTTTTTCCCACGCCCAGCAGATTCCTCTTGGAGGACATGGCTGTCTGTCTTATTCTGGGGACACAGCTGGGACTCTGACATGCCACAAGAAGAAGGGAACTCTCTCACATAAAATATAGCTAAAATATATACAAGTTTGGGATCCCTGGGTGGCGCACCGGTTTAGCGCCTGCATTTGGCCCAGGGCGCGGTCCTGAAGACCCGGGATCGTATCCCACGTCGGGCTCCCGGTGCATGGAGCCTGCTTCTCCCTCTGCCTGTGTCTCTGCCTCTCTCTCTCTCTCTTTCTCTCTGTGTGACTATCATAAATAAATAAAAATTAAAAAAAAAATAAAATAAAATATATACAAGTTTGATTTCTTAAGGTTTGTGGTTTAGATACTGCCGAAATACAAGAGTCACATACACACACATCAGGGCTCCTGGGTTGCTCAGTGGTTGAGCATCTGCCTTTGGCTCAGGGCTTGATCTAGGGTGTCCCGGGATTGAGTCCCACATTGGGCTCTGCGCAGGAAGCCTGCTTCTCCCTTTGCCTGTATCTATGCCTCCCTCTCTGTCTCTCATGAATAAATAAAACCTTTAAAACAAACAACAACAATGCATTTCATTATTGCTGTAGTCCTCTTCCTCCTTTGCTTTTTCTCAACCCTCCTCTCTGGTCCTGACTCTAAGCAACAGCCACAAAGGCTGTCCTCTCTGAATCCTGAGTCTTCCCCAGGCCCTGCCCCCATCAGCTCAGCATCTCCCTCAGAAGCAGTGAGTGGTGGGCGTGCTGCTCCAGCCTGATTAGATTAAGTCAGGCAACGGGTGTTGAAGCCTCCCCGCGTGGTTCTGGCCTCCTCATCCGTGATGGCTCCCCACACAAACACGCAGGGTTCAGCCTGCCTCTGAGTGTCTTCTCTCTCTCCTCCTGCCTGCATCCTTCTGGTCCTGTGTATGGCCCACCTTCTCCCCAGATCTCCTATCCCTCCAGCCTGAGCATGGGAAACACCCACAGGTACTTGATTCAGGGGCACTGACAAATGGGGCAGAACTGACTTTTAAACTGAGCAATATGGGGGCACCTGGGTGGCTCAGTGGCTGAGCATCTGCCTTTGGCTCAGATCGTGATCCTGGGGTCCTGGGATCCAGTCCTGCATCAGGTTCCCCACGGGGAGTCTGCTTCTCCCTCTGCCTGTGTCTCTGCCTCTCTCTGTGTGTCTCTCATGAATAAATGAATAAAATCTTTAAGAAAATAAATAAGTAAACTGAGCAATATGATCTGTACGTGTTTGCTTCTTAAAATGCCAACGACTGTAACAGGTAGTAAGACTGCAAAAAGCTATGGTGAACATCTGATCTTCTTTCATCATGAAGCTTCGAAGTATCTTGGCACTAACTCACACCTGTTACAGTCAGCCTGCACCCTTCCCCAAACCGGGCACCTCCGCGTCCTCAGCTCCCCGGAGCTGTAGAGGCCCTTTCTAAGAATATCGCCAACAAGGCGATGGAGTCCTGGATCAGCGTACCCTAGGTCAGTGTTTATGTGTGTCTGGCTTTCTCTCTTTCAGTGGATTTTTTTTTCTCTAAGGATTTAAACAAGAAACAGTTGCATGAATATAAAGCATAATTTCTTTCATAAGGAGAAATCAATACTTGTTTCTGAATAGTTGCAAATGAAGAAAAAAGTTGGCCTATTATTATTCAGTAATTTTATTTCAACCTAAATTTTGCATTTAGGATTCTAGGACTCTTCATCCGCGGCATTGAAGAAAATAGCAGGTCCAAGCGGGAGGGACTGTTTCATGAAAATGAATGTATTGTAAAAATCAACAATGTGGACCTCGTAGACAAAACTTTTGCTCAGTAAGCATTTTTTTTTCCATTGTTTTATGTTCTGCAATTGATTCCTGAGATACTTATAATCACTACTGGGCCCTCGATGATCAAAACTGTTGGCAGGATTTCTGGTCAGCCCCCTTTGAATGACCCCAGTACATCCTTTTTCGAAGGCATCTTATGTGTTGCCATCCTCAAAGGGGGCCTGCACGTGTCCCTGGTGGCCCCAAGAATAGGAAACTGCAGATACAAAGATCCTGGTTGCCGCCTGGTTGTCTGTTTGCATCTTCGATAGACGGGTTTGTTTTGCTTGGGATATGGGTCAGTTAGACTGGTATTTAATGACTCTTTTCACAGGCTGTTAGTTCAGCTTATTAATTAACTAGGTTTGTGTCAGCAGTCTTCCTTAAGCTACTTGTCTGTGAGAGACATCTATGAGGACTCAGTAATAGAAACAAATGAAAAAAAAATATTCTCCCTCAAGAAATCATTTTTCTGCATGTGAACATATTATAGGAATGGGTTCTTATAGCGAAGAATCAGAGTATGCGGCAGTCTGATGCATATTTTTTAAATGTATGTTGGCATTGCAATGGGGCTCTAGAACAAGGGAGTAAATACTAATTAATACTCTTTAGTAATGGCCACTGGATTCTCTTGTTTCTGACCAAAACAACTCATAGCATATATTCTCTGTAGCCATTCTCTGTCGATATTTGTGATTTTGGTTGGGGGTAGGAGGTGGTTGTGCATGAGAGGGGGCTGTGGGCAGTGGCTGCTTAATGTGGAAAGAAATGAATTTCTTCAAATAAGAATGCCACCGTACTTTTTACAAGGACTGAGAGATATGCAAGGTGGAAACTGAGGCTCATAAAAATTCAGCATGAAGGTAGTGCAGAGTAGAAACTGACTCCCAGTCAGGGAACTGAGCAGAGGAGCTGGGCTGCCTCTGTGAGATCTTGTCCTCCTCCCCTTCAAACATGGAGAGCAAGCACTTCATTCGTAAGGTTGGGGGTGGGGGGTAGTGAGTGTCAGGTAGTAGTAGGAATTGTGATTCATTATTATTTGATGTGGCTGCTACTGACAGAGACCTGAAATAAAGGTGCCTTAAACAAGATTTATAGCCCCCACCCCCCAAGGACAAATAAGTGTGGAGGTGGGAGTCCAGAGTTGGTGTGGCAGTTCCACAAGTGTCAGCCCAGGGGCATCTTCCATCTTTCTGTTTTGCCATCCTCACTAAGCGGCTACTCTCTTTAAGTTGTGCCATGGTCACTAGGTAGCTACTGGGGTTCCCCCATCACTCCTGAGTTTGGAGAAATATAAGAAGAAGAAACTTTCTGGCTCCCAGCTTTCCTGTAACCCTATTATATAAATCTTACTGGCAAGAAAGGCTGGGATACGGAGTTGTTTTACGTAGTCATGAAGCATAAGGATGAAGGAGAGAAATGCTAGTAGGAAATCTAAGGAAAAACACCAAATGCTAAGACAAAAAAGTAGGAAAAAAAATACAGGTACTATATAATAGAATAACAGGTACTATATAATAATATAGAATTGATAATTCACTATGATATTGGGCACAGCCAATACACCAAATATCATCATGAGGAAATGTTTGTGTCAGAATTAAAATTCTGGAACACACCCCGTTTTAGAGAGGACCTGTTCTTTAGAAGAAAGCCCTAAAAGGAAACTAATTCAATCAATACTACACAAGGATTTTTTTCAGTCTAAAATTAAAGTTTGCTTTTATGCTTACTTTAGCAATGGCTCCTGGTTGGGTTTACAGATTGAGAAATACTTAAAAACTATGGGTCACTGGACAAGTTATCTTATCACTCCGAGCCTCAGTTTCCTAGTTTTGTAAAGTAAGAGTGAATTGTGCTTACCTAACATGAAATGAGATTAAGGAAGTTGTCAAAAAGATCCAATGAGAGGATTGTGCACCCTACTAAGGCATGTGTAGCCCCGTGTCAGGGCACCTCATGGGCAAGTCGTAAGTGGTTAATTCGTATTTAGTTTGCGGTCATCCTGGGGGTAACAGTGACAGTTTCTCCCATGCTCTCACACTGATGTGCTGCCCCTGTTGCCATGATGTGGGGTGCTTTAGGTGGCATGCTAGGATGTGGATTGTTATGTATTTCCTGACTCTCTTTGAAGGGCTCAAGATGTCTTTCGTCAGGCGATGAAATCTCCAAATGTGCTCCTCCATGTGCTTCCACCGCAAAACCGTGAACAGTATGAAAAATCAGTCATTGGGCCGCTTAACATTTTTGGTAACAATGATGGCGTTTTGAGAACAAAGCTGCCACCTCCGGTCCATGGAATATCAGCAACAAAAACTGTAAATCTCACAGGAACAGGTAGTCCTGAAGAGGATGCATTGACTTCTTTGCAACAAAGCAAGAGCCCCCGAGTACCAAGACAGGGTAGGAAGCCATCCTCTCCTTCACTCTCCCCTCTCATGGGATTTGGCAGCAAGAAAAATGCAAAGAAAATTAAGATTGACCTAAAGAAAGGTAATTATTAAATTATGCTTAATAGCATTCTATTATTGTAACATGTAAAATTGGTTAAGAGAAATGCATTAAGGCTAATTTCGTTAATTCTCCCTTAGTTTAATTGTATCAAAGAATAGATTTAAGTAGGTAACTTAAATTTCTTGGAACCGTGCTACATTCTTATTCTTTTCTTCTGGAGAGTATAGATTGTTTTAAAAAAAGTGATAAAGACAGGTTGGGAAATGGAAAGAACCATTGCAAACTTGAGAGAAACACAGTAAGAAAGCACTGAAATTCAGTTGAACCCTGTTTTGAGCGAGATTAGTGATTTTTGTAGCACCTTTAGGTCAACTCTAAAAAGCCAGTATATTGTTTCTGGTTCTCTAAGACAGTTTTATACCAGCAAAATATTTAGTCCTCAAAAGGCAAATATGTGATAATCATAATTGATAATTATTACATATAATTATATAATTGAAATTCCGCCAATTCAACATTACAAACGATTTTTCAAAACATACTTATTTTCAAAAGCGTGTAGAGTATAACCTTGTCTTCATCTTTTCCAGCATTTCTATGCAATTCAAGCCCAGATAAATAAGACTAGACATGTATATACATGCATATTTATGCAATATTATACATATACACAAATAAACATTCATTCACTTCTGTGCTTTTATTTTAACCTCCTGATAATCCCTTCCCCCACTGCAGCCTTCTGCAATCTGATGTGATTTTCAAGACTTAGTTCAAAAGAAGCCAAGATCTCTCAAATTTTTGTCTGAATTAATAGAGAATTTAATGATCACAGGGTAGTTTTAAAATATTTATTAACATATATCAAAATAACATGTACCTTTAATTAGACTGTAGTGGTTATTCTGAAAGATCCTCTGGTCAGAATTTTCTCCCTCTTAAGAATTCTGTACTGAGAATAAACTGTATTGACTAGGAGGTACAAATTCACCAGAGTGCTTAGCAATTAGGCTTTTTTTTTTTTTTAAGATTTATTTATTTATTTGAGAGTGTGCAGGCATGTGTGCACATGAGCGGAGGTAGGGGCAAAGTGAGAGGAAGAAAGGGAATCTACAAGCAGACTCCCCATTGAGCACAGAGCTGGACTTGGGGCTCTATCCCAGGACCCTGAGGTCATGACCTGAGCCAAAACCAAGAGTTGACCACTTAACTGACTGAGCCACCCAGGAGCCCTTTGGCTTTTTACATAAATGCATCAGTTGTTTTTTGTACAAAATATCCAGCTATGTATAAGACATGGGGTTGAATGCTTTGAGGATAGGTAGATCAGACACAGAAGGTTACTTTAAGAATCCATCAGAAAGGGGTGCCTGTGTGGCTTAGTTGGTTGAGTGTCCACCTTTGGCTCAGGTTATGATCCCAGAGTCCTGGGATGGAGCCTGACATCAGGCTCTCTGCTCAGCAGGAGCCTGCTTCTCCCTTTCCCTCTACTTGTTGCTCCGCCTGCTTCTACTCGCTAGTGTTCTTTCTCTCCGTCAAATAAATGAAGAAAATCTTTAAAAAAAAAAAAAGCCATCAGAAAGCCTTGAATGCAAAAATAAAGAATATGACATCACAAATGTACTCTGGGAAACTTAATCTGACAGCGAAAAGGTACAAAAAAGATCAAACAACAAAGGATCAGTAAAGGATACATTGCATCTGTCTAAATATAGTCTATGTGCCTTCCCTCCTGATTGCATGTAGGAGGAGAGAGAGGAATTGCAGATGGCTTGTTCAATGGTAATGCCATTACTAAAAATCCAGAGTTTTGGTAGATGAATATATGTGAAAAGATCAGAATCTGAATTGGAGAAGGAGTTTCATTGTGAAGTTTGAAATGCTGGTGAACATGTGTGCATGGTCATATCAAGGAAACTGACCCCAGAGAGATTAGGGCCATAGAGATTTAGGTATCATCCATAGGGAGATGGTGTTGGAGCCAGGAGGTGGCCAAGGCAGAGAATCTTGAGACCAAATTGTTCCAGGGCAGATCCTTGGGGAATATCTATGTTCATGTGGGAGAACAGTGGGTAAGAGAGGGTGAGAGACATGATGGGATCAGAGAGGTAGGAAAATAGTCATAAAACAAAGATATGAAAACAAAGATGGGGGACATTAATTTCAAAAAAAAAAAAACTCAGTGAGAAGTGTCAAAGCTAGAGAGAGGGACAGTGCAGAAGAGAAATATTAGTGGATGTGGTCTTGAGTAGATCATTGATGGTGGAAGGCCGAAGAAAGTAAGATTGAAGTGAGAATTCTGTAGGGCAGAGATATCTGAGCATACCTTCAGATAATGTGGAAACCACATACTTGGAGAAAGAGAGAATCAGATGCAAAAGAATGGGCCAGCCAAGAGTGAGGGAGGGAGCAGGGGGTGTGCAGCATAGGAGGAGAAAGCAAGACCCAGCTGGGGGGAGCTGCAGGGTGGCTAGCTGAGTGAGTGCCTGACACAACTCGTGGCAGACAGCCTCTGGCTACTCGTGGTTTACTGAGAAATCAATCTCCTGAGTTTATGGATAACATGTGGCATTTCTTCTGGGACCTCAATAAACGAAAGTGTTACACATCTGCATTGCGCCCTAAATTCACTTTGAAACCATCATGACCTGTCAGGAACTATAATCTTTATTTGCAACAAGAACAACTGAAGTGTATTTAAAATATTTGCTGGAATGTAAATATTTGACTTATTCTGCATTAGTCTAAATTAGGTAAGTTTTACTATAAGGTTTCTACTTAAGGTGACCATGCATTTTCCTGGTCTTACACACTAGGCCCTGAAGGACTGGGTTTCACGGTTGTCACCAGAGACTCTTCCATACACGGGCCTGGTCCCATTTTTGTAAAAAACATTTTACCAAAGGGAGCAGCAATAAAAGATGGCCGCCTGCAATCAGGGGACAGAATTTTGGAGGTAAGACTTAAAATTAATATCTTCAATAAAGTAACCTTGATGTTTAAATAAATATATCAATATTTATATTTGAATGTAAAATATTACAAATTATCACTTGTAGACAAGATAAGGACTTTCATTATAAAAAAATTGAGTCAGTGAGAGGACTAACTTCTAAGTCCCCCATAAGGTCAGTGATATAAGGACAAGTAACACTAAAAACTTTTCTCTGTCTTCTATCTCTTAGGGTCCCTGGGGAATTGATTTTTTTTAATAAATTATTTTTTTATTGGTGTTCAATTTACCAACATACAGAATAACACCCAGTGCTCATCCCGTCAAGTGTCCCCCTCAGTGCCTGTCACCCATTCACCCCCACCCCCCGCCCTCCTCCCCATCCACCATCCCTAGTTCGTTTCCCAGAGTTAGGAGTCTTTATGTTCTGTCTCCCTTTCTGATATTTCCCACATATTTTTCCTGGATTACAGCCAAACTCTGGTAACAGTTCTCTTTAACTTCTCCTAGGGATGGGCCAACCTGTCTCAGGTTGATCTATGCCTATAAAGAAGTATTTGGAACTAAGCAAAGCAAGAGACTTTTCCCCCCATGTATTTTTGTTTGATAAGCATCATCTTCTTACCTAAATATGTATTGTCAGCTTACCTTTCAAGAAATCTTCCTCACTGAAACTGACTGGTTCTATTTAACTTTCTCATGGAAGAAACATGGAAGAAACACTCTAGATTCTAAATTATGGAAGAAGATGTACCAAATGACTAATATAGCTCCAAAGTATAATGTCTAATAATCTGTGATAAACTGGAGACTCTAATTTTCTAAACATGGAGATCACCATTTAATTATAACAAAGAACTTGCCTCCAAAGGAATTTGCCATGTGATTATGGTCCATTTCTTGTTTTTTTGTAGTAGGCAGAAAACGGTGCCAGTTCAGCACCTGAAATCCACTTCTTTCTTATTTAAGAAATCATTCTCTACTGTCAGTTTGATTTTCCCCTCATAAGAATGTGATATCTTAGGAGAAACTTCTCACACTGCTTGCTATCTGAAATGATCTAGCACCGTAATAATGATGGTCAGTATAAGTACTTTGAACTTAGTTGGTTTGGAACCATGTGTTCAGTTTTCATCTTTTCTGAGCTTTATTGACTGTAAGAGACCATCTACTACTTACTTTCAGAAACCATCTAGGGTAGAAGGAGATGGAAAGTGTCATAATCTGTTCATATGATGGCATCCATTAGGTAAATGGCAGAGATGTCACGGGGCGAACTCAGGAAGAGCTCGTGGCCATGCTGAGGAGCACCAAGCAAGGAGAGACAGCATCACTGGTCATCGCCCGTCAAGAAGGAACTTTTCTTCCCCGAGAGCTGGTAATGTTCAAGTCTTAATGAATCCTCAATGCAGAGTTTAGTGTACCCAGTGAATTCATAATAGCTGAGAGATCAGTTTTAAGTCACAGGTTTCATTTGTAATAAGAACTGAATCACATGAAGAGTATTGTGTCCCATCTGGGGTTATCATGGCTTTATGATGTTAATGCAGTGAGTTGGACATATGCCAATAGTGCTTCTGGGGTACAAATACAAACACCCTTTTAAGGAAGTAATTTAACAACATTCAACTGAATAAAATATACTTTGAGTGTGTGCTCTATGTTAGCTTTATGCAAAACACAGTCAGCAAAAATGGTTGTGGGGCCACCTTAATGCAGTTTGCAGTCTAAATGGAAATAAAATATAACCAAGTATTCAAAACAATGAAGGTGATGAAAAAGAACTGCAGGGTGCTATAGTAACATGTAACAAGGAATTTAACCTTGTCGTAAGGGCTGGGAAATGTATTCTGAGGAAGAGAGTTTTAAAGTCTTGTTAAAAGTGTATGCTCTTTGACCTACTAACTACTCTTCTAGGAATCTGTCCTAAACTGATCATCAAAGATGTGGAAAAACTTCATGTACATTGATTTTTTTTTCTCAAGTCCTTTTTATTGTAGTGATCTGTTAGGCACTGTACAACCATATGGTAGGTATTGGTTAGATAAATAACTAGATAGCCCTCCAGTGAAATGTCATGGTTACTCAAAATGGTCTCTTTGACAAACTGATCATAATATGAGAAAATGTTCATAGTACATTAAGTTAAAAAGTAGTATATAAAATGATATATGCAGCATGATCAAATTACAGAAAAATATCTTTTTAAAAAAAATCCAAAGAACTGGCAAGAGATGGACCCACAATGTTGAGATTATGTGAGATTTTAATTTTCTCATTTTTAAAATAATGAACACATATTACTTTATTATTGACATATATATTTAAGAAGGCTATACAAAATCCACCTGACTTTTATGACTCATAATAAAAAGGAATAAATGTGGAAAAATGACTTTATTACCCTTTGTTTTTTTTATTTTATTTATTTTGAATCTATTTAAGAAATGACAAAGGTACATATAGGTAACATGTTAGATTCCCAGAGTTAGATCATCAGAACCGGTAGGACTTAGTTGAGAAAACTCACTGGAGTTAGCTTGGAAAAGAGAAAGTTTAGGACACATTTTTATTATTGCTAACAAGGATGTATGGAGTTATTGTGTGGATTAAAAAGTAGACTTACAATGTTTCTTGAGGTAGTTTCTATCCATTAACATACTTGTGTATTAATCTAATAATTTACTAAGTAAATGCTGTTCACTAAGTTGGAGGTTCTGGGGATACAAAAATAATTAAGACTCATTTCCTGCCCTCCTTGAGTTGGTACCAGAACAAATATTTGGAAGTGATAATGTTACAAGTTACAGTAGTTTCTGACTGTTGGAGCTGTCCAGGAAGAAAACAGGCAACTTAGAATATTGGAACAGAGCCAGCCTCACCATCTGTCAGAGATGCGCTAGAAAAAATTCTCCCATCGATAAGGTGAGAAGACTAGATGAAGTCTAAGATATCTCCTCTAAGCCTAATATTGTTACCTATGTTTATATTCATAATCAAATATACAGTCTTCCTGAATCACCTCTTTCATATATTAATGCTTCCTACTATTGACCGAAGGACCTCCTTCCCACCACTTTTCCAGGCCGTCCTTCTCTTTCCCATCATCTTCTCCATTTTGCCTCTTGCCCTATTGAATGCTCAGTAAAACAGAGAAGGGAAGAAGAATGGGTAGTATAAGACATAAAGACTGTATTCTCCCCTTCTTTCCTCTACTTGACTCCTCCATTGCCAGCCATCTTGCAAGGAAGAACCTTGCATTTCTCATTTCCTCACTTACGCTTTTTAGTCTTCCTAAAAAGAAATGCTGCAGAAACTTGGAGTTCAGATTTTTTTTTCTAAAATGCAGATGGGTTTTTCTTTCAATCCTTTATTTATCCAAAGACCTCGGTCTTTGTCTACAAGGATTACAAAATAAAGCAATTAGAAAGAGGCAACATGTATATATAACAGGAAACCCTTCACTTCTTGTCCATCTCTTGGTTGGATGAGATAAAACTTAGAAAACTTTGGTGGGACTATGTACTTACATCAGGAATGGGAGAACCGGGATCCCTGGGTGGTGCAGCGGTTTGGCGCCTGCCTTTGGCCCAGGGCGCGATCCTGGAGACCCGGGATCGAATCCCACATCGGGCTCCCGGTGCATGGAGCCTGCTTCTCCCTCTGCCTGTGTCTCTGCCTCTCTCTCTCTCTGTGTGACTATCATAAATAAATAAAAATTAAAAAAAAAAAAGGAATGGGAGAACCAGGAAAGAAGTTCTGACCGTGTATTCTTTTGAACTGTGGTCCTGGAATGAGTGAAATCCTGCATAGAAAGAGAAACATTCCAGGGGAGCCAGCATGGCTCAGTCATTAAGCCTCTGCCCTCAGCTCAGGTCATGATCCTGCGGTCAAGCCTCTCATCAGGCTCCCTGCTCAATGGGGAGTCTGCTTGTCCCACTCCCATTGCCCCTCCTCTCTGCTTGTGTGCTGATGCTCAGTCTCTCTCTCTTTTCTCACACATGCATGCTCTCTCAAATAAATAAATAAATAAATAAATAAATAAATAAATAAATAAATAAATAAATAAATAAATAAAATCTTTTAAAAAAAGGAAGAGAAAGAAATATTCCAGTCAACAAAAGAACCTAATATCAGAGCTCCAGCTAAGAACTCACACCCTAATGAGGCCTTAGTTTCCCATCTAATAGTTCCTTTTACCCCTTTGCCAAGTCTTCTAGAATTTCTAACTTGGCAGCTAATCCTTCCTCCTGGAAGCTCCCTCCTTCCCCCAGGCAAGGCAGAGAGGAATACTGACCTTACCCGGATTGAAACTGAATGCTTTCTCAATCACAGACAATTGCATCTGAAAGTTAATGAATGTAAAAATAGAATTTTCAGAGTAAAGAGGGGTGAAAGAATCAGTATATCCAACTCTAATTTTGCAGATGAGAAAACAGAGATTCAGTGTGGTGGAGTAATCTATTAATGGTCCCACCCTGCTTGGGAACTAGAGGCATAGGATTCTTAACACTTGGTGCTTGTCTCTGGAGTTCAACTCTGGAAGCTCAACATCACACAATGTTTCTGTGTGATCTAGAGCAGCTCACAAAATTATTCCAAGGCTCAGTTTCCTTATCGATCTCATGAGATTGTCGTGAAGATTAAAAGAGATCATACATGCAAAGCTCTTGGCATAGTTCCTGGCCAATTATAAGTCTTCACTATATGTCAGCTATAATTCTGCTAGTACCTTGCCACTTCAGTAGTATTAAACACAACAAAAGTACAATACTATACTTTAGATACCTTTTGAAGAAAATAGATCTATTCAGGCTTGCCTGGGATTAACCACTACTTTAAACATTGATTTTTTAATTATCATTTAAAAATATATATTGCTGTACAAATACTGAATTACAAAAAAAAAAAAAAGAAGAAGAAGAAGAAGAATTTGTGTGTGTTTGAAACTAAATCCATAAGTCAGGCAGCCTGTGTGTTATTAGTTCACTCTCGTTTAATAGAATTGAGTGAAATTTGATTTCTATCCCAGAAAGTGACATCATAGGCCAAACCCCCCAGGGAGCATGTTAAATTAATTGTGCAACTGTGAGATTATGAGTGCAAATAAATTATTTGTTCTCATTGTTTTTTAGTTTTATAACCAAATTTGCAAGGCATGTGGTCAGTATCCCTTCTCCTAGAATTCTCTGGCAAACAGTCTAGACTCTTTAAAGAATATCTGACTTCTAATTATCTAAATATGTGGAATATTCTTTGTAACCACAGCAAAGCAAGGCCTTTGAGGATTACAAGCACCAAGTCATGTGGACCCAGAACCTTGGTTTCTGGAATAGTATTCTTTGTCCAGCCCAGATACCTTCCTTGAGTGCTAAGAGGCAAGAACCATACAGGAAGTTTAAAGAGAGGTCCTGTTTGGCATGCACAGCACTGTGTCACTGTGAGTTACTTCATAGTGTGACATGCACGGGACTATTTGGAAAAACAGAATGAAGAACAGTGTAGTTTATGACACATCTCTGTATTTTCCTTTCAAAAAAAGAAAAAAAAAACTGGAGGTGTTACCACTTTGGTCTCTTCTCTCTTATCATGACTGATGCACATACTTGACTTTCCATTGAAAATCTGGCAGGATGAAGGAAGGACAGCACTTCCTGCTTTTGTCTTATTCTATCTCCTTTGAAGAAAACAAACCGTGTTTACTGTTTTCCTCTTCTGAGAAACCATCCTCTCACTTTTCTGAAGCCTTGCTGTTTCACGAGCTGGATCCCCTCTTAGCTGAACCGCTCCGCCTGGTTTCCGACTGGTAGGTAAATCTTCCTACTTCCTCGTTATCTTAGCATCTTGTAAAGTCTTAACACTTACAGCCAAGGGAGCCCGTGGTCAGCAGTTAGACAGGAAGTCCTGATTTAGGGTGCTCTCTCTCAGATGTGATCCTCTGTCATTCCAAAGGCCTGAGCACCCATTCATTTCCTGATCATTTCTCCTGACCTGCTACTAATTTCGTTTCATGCCTTCCCTCCTGAGCAATTGGTCAGCATCACAAATGGAGCAGTGCATTTAGCCAACCTTCGTTCCAACTGTGGCAGGCCGGGTTGAACATCAAATGAGAAGAATTCATGTACTAGCATCACAACTATTTAAGCCCTTTCTGGTATCTTTACCAAAGGAACTGTGTTTCAAAGGTAATCTTTCCAGAATCCCAAGCTGGAAGACCCTCTTTGATGCCTTCACCCCCTGACTGGGTGAGAGTTTATTAAAGAGGTGTTCACATAAGGAACATTTTTTGCAAAAGGGACTCTGAGATTAGTGTTGGTAATAGAATCCCAAGGTGAAGCTGCTGTGACTGTGTCTGCACTTGATCACTCTGCCACTTAA